GGGGGGGCGTCACTACATTTATTTTTTATACATTACAAATTATTTTTTTGGAAACAACCAGACAGTCACATTTTACCGTTCGTTGTCGAAAGCGACAGATTTTTTTTCTTACATGAACCAGTTGTTGTTCTAATGTCTGCATTGGGGAAAAATAATCAAAATAAAAGCAAACATGAAGAGTCCTTCAGAATTTCCGTCAATTATATTTGCTTGCAACCAGGGAATAGTTTCGGGTTCGAATGATGGGGAATGTGGTTTTATGTGAGAATCAGGGAGAGGGTAGAGGTACCCGGTTAAATACCATTCTTTGGTTGCAAGGATCGTACTTTGAAGGCGAATTAATATATCTGGAAATTTCGTCAAGTTATTTTACTATGGAATTATTGAACGCAACTTGCCATGTTTCTAATGACTTCAAAAGGGAATTGATTTAATTACCAGAGCCACTATCTGAATTGAGTTTCTGTTGAATTTCAAAGTTCGCATGAGATCTCATTCTTGACTTTTAAAGACCGCGCGCATTAAAAACCGGGTCATGAAAAAAAGTTCCCGAGAGCAGAAATAACCATTTTTACGAAATTCAGACGTATATATATATATATATATATATATATATATATAAGTTCAGACGGTTCCCATATTTGACGCAAACAAAATACAAAAAAAAGATAAAGAACTATTTACATGACATATTCACGCATATACACTGTACGCTCACTCACATACACATTCATTTAATACGAACGTTTTACAATTCCTATCATTTGCCGCATAAGAGTTCACACTCTTCTCACAAAAAGACACAATCTTTTCATAATTTACTGGAACAATGATAATGCATATATATTATTGTTATTATCAATGATAAAGCAATCGATATTACATTCTCATTACCTCAACAAAGTAATATCAACAGCACGCACAGAGGAACATCCACTAATAATAATAGATAACAATTATAATAAATTAATTCTGTACAGAGTTTCTTGCTTCGAGCATAATAATTATTAAATATCTAAGTGAGGGCGGGGAGGGGGGTGGGCATACGAGGACAAGGGAGTAGAGGGGTATTATCGCGGAGTTGGCTTTGCATTTGAGCATTGCCGACACAGCATCTCTCACTGTTATCTTCGTCTCTCTATTTCTACTTCATTTTCCATACCCTTGAACACGAAATAATCCAGTTATTCGCGTAGATCTTGTCGGCGCATTTTATTTATAAATTAAGTGTGAAAAACGGACAAAAAAGAAATATGAATATTTTCGTCTATGGAATTCCGAGAAATAGTACATGTTGCTTAAACAGGAATGGCAATTGCCGACTTCATCAAGGAGGAAATGAAGAGAAAAACGAATGAATTAAAAATCAGTGATTAATAATATTCGAGAGAACGAAAATTCATAGTAGTCTTTTTTATCAGAGTTTATCTGTTTCATCGAATCCATACTTAATAAATAGTGTTTAAAATTGACAACTACACTTCCGTGGCAAGCGTGGCAGCTAATGCAGCATCATGTCTATAATGATCGTCTATAACATAAACACCACAGTTACCCTCACTGGCACAACCACCCCCGCCACCGCCGCCGCCACTGTCCGTTAACGTTGGCCTCTTCAATAACGAAGGATCGCTGCTCGCGCAACAACTATCCAATGTATTACTCGAGAACATTGACGTCCTCTTAGCATCGAGTACACCAACACTAGCACAAATATCTTTTTCTTTTTGAAAATGATGTGATGCACGATGAGCCGCAGCCTCTGTATTCAATTGTTTTGGAGTCCTTGATCTACCATCTGGCATAACTGGCTCGGGTTTGTAACCACCGCACGATATATCAAGACCACTGTCAGTCTGGAAAGACGAGTCAAGATCGTCCCTCGTTACTGTTGCATTGTTAACACTCTTATTTGCTGTCCACGTATTTTTAATCATGTGAGAATCACCGGTACCAAGTGAACAAACACTAGTACCTGTTCCCCCAAGTCCACTACTACATCCAGCACCACTCTGAAATACACCGCCCGGTCCAACCATACTGACACCATTAGCATTACCACCACCACAGCCAGTGGATGCACTACGTTTACTCAAACTGCTGTGAACAGCATTTCTCTCGTTTTGCAGTCTCGCCTCTTCATCGGCTCTCGCCTGCTCACGTTTCTGTCTCCTCTTCATACACATAACGGCAAGCGCAGCAACCAGAACAAATGCAGGTACTGCTGTTGATAATGTTGCAATGACAACAACGTGTTCAGTCGTTAGTCCAGCATCTCTAGCCTCAGCCGAAGGCCGTGACAGATTGCCAGACCAGTAACTCGCCCCAGATGGTGGTACACCACTGTTACTCGATGTTACTGGCCGTCCAATGGCGATACCAGTGTCGGGCTCACTGCATGTACCACCACGCCAGCCCTTTTTGCATTCGCACAAAAATTCATTGACACGATTTGTGCATATACCACCATTCTGACATGGTGCACTTTTGCATTCATCAACTTCAATACTGCAATCTTTATTGGTGAATCCGGGTTTACATATGCACGTGTAGTCATTGGTACCGGAAATGCATTTACCACCATTGGCACATGGCTTAGCACGGCAATAATCAACTTTGTCTTGGCACACAGATCCGGTGAAACCAGGTATACAATGGCATCGGTATTCACCCACCTTGTCTACGCAGGTACCACCATTTAAGCATGGATCACTTTCACACTCATTTATATCAACCTCACATCGCGAGCCGGTGAATCCAGTTCGACAGGTGCATCGGTAGCCATTGACAACGTCCGAGCATGTGCCATTATTTAAACAAGGATTTGGTGCACATTCGTTTATTTGAGCTTCACAATCTGCACCAGTATAACCGGATGGACAGTGACACGTGTAACCTTTTAATGAGTCATCAACACAAGTTGCACCATGAAGACAAGGTGAATCTCTGCATGACCTCGAGCTTATTTCACAGTGACGTCCACTCCATCCTGGTGGGCACGTGCAACGATATGCAATGGGTCTTAAGGCGACATCAGTGATATTTGTGTTTGACGTTGGGTGAGATCTCGTTGTAATCCGTCGTTCTTGATGCTGCTGCTGCTGCTGCTGCTGCTGCTGCTGCTGCTGCTGTGTGCTATTGTTTATCATACTGCATGTACCACCATTGAGACAAGGCTTTGAGTGACAATCGGTGAGGGGTTTTTCGCAGTCAGTACCATTGAAGCCTGGCGCACATGAGCAGGTGTATGAACCCTGGCCGGTGTTGAAGCAGGTGCCACCATTAAGGCATGGTTTGTGATTCGTACAGTAGTTTAGATCCTGGTTACAGAATAAGCCGCCCCATCCCTCGTTGCATAGACACTCCCATGGTTTTTGACAGGTACCGTGGAGGCATCCTGGATACCTCATGCATTGATCGCAAAATGCTCCAGTCCAGCCTTTACTACATCTGTTGTAACAGACAAAAAAACGTATTCCTTTAGTTTTTATTATTCGTTATCATCACATTGTGTTGAAAGATAAGAAATTATAGCTATAGCAAGAGAGAAAGAGAATAAACGGAAGGAAGAGCGATACATAAAGCTGGAATGAAGGAGCCCTCCTCCGTGGTATAAGAAAGAAGAGGATGTAGTGGTCGGCCATTACGTCGTACCATACAAGACGAAGGGATCGCGAGATGAAAGGGCGTCCGGGTGGGTGAAAGATAGAGAGACAGGAGGTAGGGGAAGGGGGAGAAAAATGAGAAAATAAAAAGGCAAAAACAAAAAGAAGGAAAAGCCAAGGCGTCGAGATGGTGGTAGTAGTAGTGGTGGTGATGGTGGTGGTGGAGGTGAACGGCAAAAAGATATGAAGGAGTAAAAGAGAGGAGGGATCGTGGCTGTTGAAACAGGGATGCCGGACAAGAATGGTGTCCGAGTGGGGATGAGTCGGCGAGTAGTGTTCCCACGGTTCGAGCCACAGCACAGCCGTTCAGTATGCGGGTCAAGGAAAGGTTACAGACCCCCTCCCCCTTGCATATGTGTATGAAACCCGATGTACGTGTATATGTTTTATAAGGTAGACCCCCCCTCCCTCGCGCCCCTCATCCCAGCACCATACCCAGCTTGTATGTGTGTGCACGGGCGCCCGTTTCGCTCAGCTCTTCTGGTCTCTCTCACCAATACAATCATCCAGAAGAGTGACGTATATGTGTATGTGTGAATATACACCGGCGCACGATGCTGCTGCCGTCGCGGTATGACTATACCATCAAATCTCGTATACCTACTCTTCGTTTCATGGGTAAGATCGAATGAGGGGAGAAGGAAGGTGGCTGATGCCAAACTCAACTGAGGCAAAACCGGGCCCCCAAAGACCAGGGAAACTGACGTAAAAACGGAAGATGAAGAAGAATAAAGTGGATATGAGGGAAAAAAAAGAGTGGCTGTATATCCCTGATTTTACACCCGGCAAACCGGGGCTATCTATACGCTATACTCAGTTTCAGCTCTTGGGTATGGTTAAATAGAGAGCTACTTTTTGAAAAACAAAGTAATAAACTAAAGTAGAAATATTGGATTCTGTTTTTCTTTCTTTCTTTTCTCACGTCTAATTACTGTCAACATTGAATCACATGTACACAGCTCCTGATAGAGATCATTTGATACTGTACAAAAGAAGTGTATTCTAGGCTGAATGTATGTTTCTTGCAGTAAATAACGTTAAAAGTTAAGTTATTGGATTCTGTCAAATATATATATTGACTTTATAATGCGCAAACTTCAACATCTGCAAAATTTTGAAGCATTTTGGTATGTAACTTGTATTAGGTGCATCGTATGTTCACTGGTGTATAGCCGATCAGTATTCAGCTCTCACCACTATCCAAGAAATGTACTCTCCCTTCTCCTCATCCCCTCTTTCGAATGAAATAGAACTCTCCAAAAATTTCAATCGCAAGACTGTCCTGCAATTCTTTCACGTAATACAACAAGGATATAACCGATCCCCCGTATTCAGTATATATACATAACTGAAGAGAGAGACTGGCCTCGGTGTTTCTCCCACGATCTCCGCCTTCTATCGTATTACAGGTTAAGCGGCCAACGACGAATTTACGGCAAATAAGTCTTCCGCGAATCGTCAGGGAGCGTCGACTCCCGTTTTCGCATAGTTCCATTTTGCATTGTTTATCGTCTCTCTTTTTACTTATTTTTCTATTCATTCGATTGTATAATTACATTCTTTTCATGCCCACTCATTGTGTGACGGCCTGCCTTCTTGCAGTGAGACGTAACAATTAACCCCACGGTCTGCAGAGTAATTAGATGATCGAGTTAACTCGTAAGCCCGGGTTAAACTCCATCAGACGAGATTCATTTATTTGTCAGCGTTCGCCAGTGTCATTCATTAGATTTCTCTTTGTTTCGCTTTTTATTCAGCCTCTTTCATTTTCATTTCTCTCGTGTTCTCAGGATTAGACGCCTTTCTCTATGTACAATGCGTACATGTATTCTATCTGCACGTGTACTTGTGAAACGTGTCATTTTCATATACCCCCACACATTGAAAAATCCATCAGGATGAAACGAATGTACATAAAGTTTTATATAGATGAGGAAAGAGGTGGCTTAGGATAGGTTACGAAATACCGGAGTAGTATGCGCGTTATGAAGTCGGCGTTTTGCGATCCGTGGGTCGTATTTCCATGTTAATAAAATGTTATATACTGAGAAAAGGATTTTTCAAGGATTTCAATAAAGAGTTGGATATTGGAAATGACTAAGCCGAAACGTTATTATGCAGTTTCGATCATCGTTATTTGTTGTCATTGCTATACTTACTTGCACTCGTTGGGTGCTGTACAGTGTCCGTGCTGCTCGTCACATCCAGGCAGACAGCGAGCTGTAATGAAACAAAAGGGAAAACTTTAAATATAAAAATTTTATCGAGAACTTTTAAAATCATATTCGGAAATAGTGATGCCGTGAAACATTTCATGAGACATCACGAGACATAAAACTTTGGAGAGATGATCTCGGTCTCAATCAATACGGGAATCTTTGCTCTCGTCTCAGTCTCAAAATACGCAATATCTACTCCTCTCGTGATGACCCCGAGTCAATTAATTTCATCTCGGTTTCCAGTTTTTCACGTTTTTTAATGTAAAACACCGAGACGAGAGGAACCGATACAAAAACCGAAATTTTGTATTATAAACCACGAAAAACTTAGGACCGAGATGAGATAAATTGACTCGGAGTCATCACGAGAGGGTCAATACTGCGTATTTCGAGACTGAGACGAGAACAATGATTTTCGTGTTCATTGAGATCGAGATCATCTCTCCAAAGCTTTGTCTCGTAAAGCGTCTCGCGGTATCATTATTCGGAAACCGCCATAATAGAAATATCAGCAATGACAATTGTGTCACATGTGACTTTGACTGAACACGAAAGGGCGTTTGTCCAGTCCGGAAATATCTGAAGAGGCCCGACGCGTTTGGCTCGGAGCCACAGGGCAAGCAGTAGCGGACGGTTCTCGTGTGTTTGTGTTATCCTCCTCACCCCCCACCCCCTTCCACTCTTTTTTTTTAAGCATTAGTACCTATATATACGTGTGGAAGAAAGAAGCACTGAAGAAGAAGAAGAGGCAGAAAAGTTTTAACCCGTAGTGCAAGCAACGCCGGATCCGCTGGCTACAGAGGATTGTTGGAGTGAAGGCATTCCTGTATCTTTTTTGCCTCCCTCCCACTCTTCATCTATCTCTCTCTTGCCCCTTTGGTCCCCCATATCTTTCCCTTACTTTCTTCGCTGGACTTAAATTAATCGACGACGTATGCCCGCGGGGAATTTTATAGTCGTTCTTGGGTCCAGGTAAAGGACGATACGATCTACTGGAATAGGGGGTTGGAAGGAGGTGTGCTTTACCGCTCCCTGCCTTTTCTATACGGTTTGAAGGAGAAATAAAATAACGATTGAATGATGCACTTAAGCGTTTCAAAGGATTTTCACCTATGTCTGAATTTTTATTTATCCTTTGTTTTCTAAATGTGCAGACGTCAGAGTAGGGACAAAGTCAAATGATTTCCAGAAAAATTTTAAGACCCTAACAAATGCCCTCCCTCTTCCATTTCTCTCTCTCTCTCTCTCTCTCTCTCTCTCTCTCTCTCTCTCTTTCTCTCTCTCTCTGT